GACGACCCCATAAATAATAAACGGCCAAGATACATGTATAATTATTCGAATACGTGACAATAATGACCCCCATAAATACTGATAAGGTCAAACTTTGAGCCTACGGTTCTACACCTAAAAAAAAAAAAAAAACTTTTCGCCATTCTTATATGTAAAAGGGGGTATAATTGATTCTCTTCGGCTTATTCTCTTCACCGTTATATCCAGTTTTAAACGATAAAATGCTATTCCACTCGTAGAATTCCATAATCCGGTGTATACAATTTGCTCCCATCACACCGTTAAAACGGCGACATGATTGATGAGCCCGTGCTGAAATTCGTGAAAAATGTTGACCACTTTAGTCAACTTTTACGTCGTGCAATATGTAACAAAATGGGTTCTTCTTTCGTAGTTTCTGCCATTTTCGCTTATATTATGGTGCATATGGGCTCTTAACTTAATTCATATTGATGTACTTAGGTTCGTATAGTATGTTGAGTACATAATCGATTTTATATATATTCACCATTCGCCAATGAAAAGAAGTGTTACGCGCTTAATCTATACACCTGGATGTGGAAGAGAAAACAATTCTATAATTCATACATATATAAACAACATATCGCCCTTTCTAGCATTTTCTAAAGGGAAAGGAAGAAACACAATGATGTTGCTTGTGAAACTCTCTATATTTATTTGTGCCCTGTGTTTTGGGCAAATCGCTGACTGTGTATGGAACAAACAACTGTTTTTTGTGGGGACTTATCACATGTATTGTGATAAGGTGTTAACCGTCCATAACAACTATAAAACTTCCTCTCGTGTATTTTTGCGCTATACATCATTGTGTACACCATAACAATCCCATATGTATTCCGCTCTTTTTTTTTACATGTTAGGCGAGTACACTAGGTACATCATGGGGTAATTTAACAAGCCATTATGACACCACGGATGCAATTACAACCGTGTCGTTGAGTGATGGCACGGATGTAGGCAAACGGGGTCAACGTAATTTTTACGACGGTCGTGTGACGGGTAGTCCCGTGAAGAACACACTGTTCGATGACATGCGCAGAAAATTAAAATCCAATGCCAAAGTAAAGGAGCCACGACCTGTAAAGAAGAAGCCACAGAGTCGAACAGCACAGAACAAGCTCAAGCAACTGTGTCAGAAATTGAAACAGTGTAAAATGGGAAGAAAGGCATGGTTGGCGCTTATATTAGTACTCTCAGTTATTTACCCATTCCTTATGTCCCTTTTATCAGCGATGGTGTCGTGGAGTGAGTATACAATAGCACAAATTTTTGCGTTTTCCCCGGGCACGTCTGGAGCTTTCATACTGATTGCAATTATATATTTGTGCGTGTTACTATGTTTCTGGTGCTCGAAGAAGGGAAAATGTATAGTAAACAGAATTTGCAAGGACGAAACTCGCACAGAAACGAAAAACAACGAAGGAGAAGTAAATAAGAAACAGGAAGCACTTAAAGAGCCAGGAACATTTCAGAAACAGGAAGGACCTACGAAGAAGGAAGCACCGGGCACAGCAGGAGAATCCGAAAAACTGGAAGCACCTAAGAAAACAGAAGTACCAAAGACACCGGACGCACCCAAAGAAGCGGAAGCACCTAAGAAAACAGAACTACCTGAGAAGCAGGGAGCATCTGCAAAATTAGATGCACCTAAGAAACAGGAAGCACCTAAGAAACCTGAATCACCTAAGAAACAGGAAACACCTAAGAAACCGGAAACACCTAAGAAACAGGAAGCAGCTGAGAAGCAAAAAGCACCGGGGAAGCTGAAACTACCGTGGTCACTGAAATTACCTAAAAAACCATAAGTACGTGCCGTATTCTATTTATCGTAGATTATGTTGACGTTAGGATATGTTATTCGTCTGGTTACAGGATCGACAATCTCATGAGGTCCTACAGATTTTGTGTGATAGGCATATGTTTCCTTTAAAGCATGTATCCTATAGTTGCGTGTCCTACTTTATAATTTTTGTTTGTGCTCTTACCAACATACATGGTTTGTGTTTATGTTGTATTATTTGTTCATATGATCAAGTGTTTATTGATACTATGGATGAGGAACCCATTTGAATAAGAAAAAATGGGAAACCTGTCCCTATATTGCACATATATAAGAAACAATTATTTCATATGCTACATATAAAAAACACTGCATTATGATTACCATGCATACAACATGTGGCAAAGATCTTTATAAAATGTAACAGTGCTGTTTTTTGTTTTTCCGCACTTGAAAAATTGTGGCACCGAATGAATATCCCCCTTTTTTGGCACTATCATATTGTACACGATAATAACAACATACGTCATGTAGAATGTAACGTGGACGCATATAGTGATGCAAGGTCCCCTACAACATCATCTACAGGGACAGGCGCCCTGAAGGGGGACAGGGCACACGCGTGGTGCCGCGTGTGAAATATGTTTGAGCAATGGTGCACATATAATTCGTTATGCATAAATTCGTAAACTGGTCGCTCGTACTCATGCCCGCTGTAGTGCACAGTCATGTTCGTCACGGAGCCGCTGGGGTGCTGTCTGCAATTGTGCATTGCGCTGAGCGAAGATGTGCTATGTGGTTGTTCGGTGTTGTTCCCGCGCGTTATGTCCATGCGGCACGGTAGTGTGCATGAATGCGTCGTACGCCTTGGCAACGCGAGCCCTGCATGCGGAGCCTGCGCGCGCGCGCATGCCGACAATACATGATGCTGCTGCAGCTACTGATGGCTGCGCGGAGGTTCCGCCTGTAGTGTCGCTACCCGTTTTGCATATTAGGCCTGGCGCGTGCTGTCGTGCGCGGAGGGCGCGGTACCGTGGGCATCGTCCCATGCTGCATGTGTCTTATGTGTCCACTGTGCACGCATGGTGCGTGTGCCGCCTGCGCTCGTGTGGCCTGTGTGGTGGTTACGTTGCGCGCGGTGGCTGCTGCTGCAGGGTTGTGCTGATGCTGGGTACATGATGCGCCAGGCGGCCTTGTGGTCCAGGCGCAGGGTTCTATACTGCGCGCGCGGTGCTGACAGTACTGTGTCCCGCGGCGCGAGCACATGCTGCGACGGTGGTACAGGCTGCGCATAGTGCTCGCGCGTGGCGCACGTGGTGGGCTCAGTTGCGTGCATCTGATGCATGCGGCTCCCGTGCGCATCTGATACCAGGCGCGCGGCGCGTTCACGGCTCACGCCGCGAATTGTTCGGTGCACTGCCGTGGGCTGTGCACTGCACGCCTCATGTCCTCGTGCACTGTTCTTGCCTGCTGCACATGGTACCTACCGCTTTTGGTGATCCCATCTATTTTGCGCCACTGCTTGCTGTCATGTTGCCGCCTGTGATTGGGCTACTCCTGCGTCCACTACACCTGCGGCGTGTAAGCAGCATTCTTCTATTCCTGTTCTGCTGCGCTTGTTGCGCATACCGTTTCATGTCCCCCTGTTGCCTTCGTGCCTGCGCGTGTGCTGTGCACGCCGCGGTTGTGTCCACCTGCCCGTGGTTCACGCACCTTGCACTGCATTGCCGACGTGTTTCGCACTTTTTCGAGCATCCTCTCCCATGGCACCTCCTTTGTTTCCCCTTGTAGCTTGATCCTGCGCGCTTCCCGTGATTGTGCTTTTTGCTCGTACACGTGCCGTAGTTTGTACTTGTGTATGCTGTCGTGCAATCGTTTTCACGCAGTCCCGCGCGCGTTGTGCTGCTGCTTCTATTCCTCTTTTTCGCCACCGCGCCGTGCTCTGGCATGCGCTTTTCCATGTCCCTTTGTCCATTGCATCGCGCACATGCGAGTACCCTTCACGCTTTTTCTATATGCCACTGCATCCAATTGCGGCCTTCTGTGTGATTTACCTTCGGCTTATATGC